ATTATGAACGTGTAAGTATATAAAGTACCACTCGTAATAGAACATAGATAATTCATTTTAATAAACCAATCTTTATTTTTTCAGGAGTCTCGGCTAAAGGGATGCGTTCATTTTAATTTCGATGTGGTACTATCAATAAAATTTAAGAACACACATTTTGTTTTCTTTATATAATATGTAAATTGTTATAAAGGTTTATATAATACAAAGGAGAAGCCTGTTTATAACTATTCTGCTTGTACGATGATATCAATCAATTAATCACTTGTCTAAATCCAGCCAGCGAAAAGGCTACTGTTTTTATAAAACTGACATCGCATTATAAACTAAAATCTGACAGGTTTTGTCTGAGTGGAGCAGTCCAGAACTTCACAGGTATTGAAAATACAAACTTTCACAAACATTTATATTCATGAAAGTAAACCCTACGTAAACCAGTTATAATAATTTTTAGTTGTAAGTAAAACTGTGATATCATATCAACTGGAAATTACTAAGCGTATTAAAATTCAAAAATCATTTATTTACGTAGGTAACACAATGTACACTTGAGATTCGTCATTAAATAAATACATATTAATGCTTCTAATTTTACATTTACTGCCAGTTCTCAAATCAAGGGCGTAGAACGGAAGAGAAGAACTAACAATAAACTCTCCGCCACTCTTTTTAATCGCCATGTTTTTTTTACACAACGTTTGTAAGGAGCTGCAACCATTACACCATGTTCCACATGACATCTTAAGTAATTAATAATAATAACATAAATTAAAAACAAAGACTTGTCCTCTATCAACAGGAGGCATGGTGAAATAGGAGCACGCACTTACATTCTCGTGGGAACAACCCGCAAACACATAGTCGAAATAATTAACATCACCGCATACATGAATTCAAGTACGACCAGTCACCACAAGTAGCACCCGTTCACAGTATGACGCGTGGCCAGCCATCGGCCCCCTCGCCATATTTTAGGGAGAGAGACAACCCGACGCATGGACGCCGCCACAAGCAATGACATTTAAGCGAGCATGACGATCCTTGAAATGTGGACTTGGCTACATAAGAAAATAATAATAATACTGAAATAATTTGATACCACATGGATCAGGGTTTGTTCCCACTTTACATTAATACAGTCGTGGATGTTGATCGCCCCGGAGTCTGGAAATGCAGCCGAGAGATTCAGTCGCGTTACCTATTTATACTGGAGCAACTTATATCCAAGCACTAGGATCGTTTAAATATTCATTTATATTATAATAGGCCTTAGCAAGCAGTTTTACTTTAATGTACGACTTAAATTTATTTATTGACAACACTTGTATCTCACTAGGGATTTTATTGAAAAAACGTATACAATTGCCTTGGAAAGAATTACTCGTTTTATGCAGCCTTCTGGTTGGTGCGCTAATTTTGTCTTTATTACGAGTACTATAATTATGGAAGCTACTATTCTTTTTAAAAATATCTATATTTTTCCGCACATACAAAATATTCTCATAAATGTATTGACTTGCCAGAGTCAAAATATGTAATTCCTTAAACTATTAAAAAGAGTGTGGCGTAGCATGACAGCTAAATGCCTACTGCATCGGTTTTCAGTGATCCACATTTGTACTGGATATACAGGGTCGCCAAAAAGTCGTGGATCAAACGCAACTAGGGGATAGATGAGGTTATCAGACAGTCAAATACTGTGGAAGATCGTTTAATTTTTCCAGCACTTGTTTGATTGTGGCGATATAATCAATTGTATCAATTCTTTCAAAAACAAGCCAGAACAATGGGGTGGTTTTCGTCCAGGACTTGTGTTATTCTTCCAAAATTCCACTTCCTGAAAATTTAAGTCTCTACGGGGTAGCATAGCCAAATGTTCCATATATTGGTATATAGTAAAAAATACTACTAAAGGAAATAAGTAAACAAAATACGTATTAAGGCATAACGAGGCTTACTTGTAAAAAAAAATAGTTTGCAAGTTTTGTTGCTGCACTTATATCCATTTTATATTACACACTAGCGACCCGCCCAAACTTCGCACGGGTGCAATGCTGATACTAAATACATTACAGAAAAACTGTGAACGTTGTATATAAAAACATAGCGGTCCGCTCCGGCTTTGCACGTGTATAAAGTATATAGCCTATGTCACTCACTGAAAAAATGATTAAAATCGATCCAGTAGTTTTTATTTATTCATTACTGCCCGTGGCCCGCACGCGTTAAATTTGGATATTTTGATAAATCTCGTAGGGTTCAGCCTGCGTTTGCAATGTAAGCGGAAAAAATGTAATTAATTACGACATCACATTAGAAACCTCAAAAATAGCAGTATTTCTCCACTATTTAATGGATGTTATTATACATATAAACCTTCCTCTTCAATCACTCTATCTATTAAGGAAAACCGCATTAGAATCGGTTGCGTTATGCGTAGTTTTAAAGATTTAAGCATACATAGGGATATAGGGACAGAGAAAGCGACTTTGTTTTATACTAAGTAGTGATAAACGAAGTTCACGATAGGCCCCTAATAACTAATATTGTATAGTGTATTGTTGCCACACTGTTACCAGCTGAGTTTCATCATCATCATCATTCCACAACTGTTATTTAAGGCAGTTCACCACTATGTGAAAGCAGCTACCCACCAAAAGAATTCGACTTAAGGTCCCTCAAGCGTACCTAATGGCGGCCATTCACGGGCGATCCATCGATACATTTGGCACGCTGTCGATCCAAAATTCGTCCATGAATGTGAATTCTTACACCACTTTCTTTTTTTTTAAACCAGACAAATCGCTATGGTAGATAAATATAACTCATCTTCTGAATCGAAGTTCATTATGAACACGTCCAGTGCTATCGACGCCTACACTCAAAATGATCAAATGGAACGGCTCGCTGCTGGCGCGTTCGTGAATGGTATGAATTTGGCTTGGCGCGACGTCGAGTATCGAGCCCGTGGCGCGATAGCCATATGGATCGCCCGTGAATGGCCACCATAAAGGCCGACAAAACACTCGCGAGCCCTCTGGCATTGAGTGTACATGGGCGGCGGTATCACTTAAAATCAGTTGAGCCTCCTGCTAGTTTACTGTTCTAAACAAGAAAAAAAAACAAGAATATGTCCTTAAATTTTATTTTATCATTTTAAAACTAGTGCCACATCGTAAAACTTGAAATCCGAATTATCTCCAAATACATATCATAGGTATATCTGCAAATACAACCTCCATTTCTTAACCGAGAGTTCTGAAAAATAGGTTCGATTATTGTATCTATAGTTTATGGTAATTTGATATCTTTTTTACACTATAATATATACTTACATATTTAATAAAGCACTATTGACACCAAGTAGGGATGTCCGTAATCCAGAGTCTGAAAATTAAATTAAATTATTAATGTTTGAATTTCTAAATCTATATGTATGAATTGTGTCTTCATTGTGTCCAAAAAAATTTTGGTTTCGCCGGGAAACTGTTTCCAGACTCTTGGGTTCATCGTGTATACTAGGCCTTTTGTTGCTTTAAAACATAAGTACACAGTAAAATAAACTTTGATTTAACTTTGCATTAAGATGTTAAAACAAATTATTAAAAAAATTTAAACAATATAAAATACTTACTAAATAATTGTGGCGCACTGTAAATACTTGCAATTTGAATTAGAAAAATAGTAAAAATTAAAAACAAAGTTAAAATGTTTATGGACGTCATGTTGTCCACAGTAAATAAATTAAAAAATTCGCCAAATTTATATGTTTTACGTTGAATTTTTTAAATTAATTTGTATGAGAAAATTGCAAAGAAATAAATAATTGGTTACTTAGATAATTAACTTTAATTAAATACGTCAATTCGTGCGTAAGTGAAAATATCCATTTTTATCGTATTACTTTTTTCACGACATTTTAATTTACCTATATCTCTGTTGCGAATCAGAATCATTTAGTGTCGAGTAAGAACACATCTTCCGTCCTCAACAGTCGCGCATGGACGGATCAAGGGTCCACCTAGGGCCTGGCCAGGGTCATGCTTTAGTTAGCTTTTGTTAGTAGATACAGTTTCTGTGTAAAAACGATCCATATCGGTCACTTTACTAGAAACTTTCAAACTGTTTTTGCAAACTCATTAGTAATGTTTGCAGCTCCTTACAAACGTTGTGTAAAAAAAAACATGGCGATTAAAAAGAGTGGCGGAGAGTTTATTGCCGGTTCTTCTCTTCCGTTCTACGCCCTTGATTTGAGAAGAAGCATTTCATATACAGCTGTTCTTTTTTTGACGATCATAAGTGTACATTGTGTTACCTATATGATTAAATGATTTTTGAATTTGAATTTGAGTCGGGGTTAATACAAATGGTAGAAAATAAAACATCTGCTTTGTTCTAAATCAATATATTATTTTACGTTTCAGTAATGGCGATATTATATCTAATTATATCACATTTTGAATTGTTTTATTGCACTTTGGAACCGCCATATTCGTGTTGTTCTAGCGCCTGTAAAAGAAAATATCTTTATTAATTCTGACAATATAGTAGTACAAATAGTCATATGTGCTAACATTTATTAAATATGGGCGTCATAATCATTTATTTAGCTGTCTTTAGAATATATAGTATGTTGTAATTGACTATAGATTTAATTTTTCTGCTACTTTAAGATGAACCTTAAAACAATCTAAATATAATTAATAATTATACTATAAGATAAATGATCTATATGTATATATATATATATATATATATATTCACATGTACTTTGTGTAGTTCGTGACATTGTAACATATAAAAGATTCATTTCTTTTTCAAATTTAAGAGCCGGGCTCTTGTCTGTGGATTAATCGCCACTCAATTACACAATCACTCAATATAAAAAAAAAAAGAAAAAAAAAAGGTTTAAACTATTCCATAAAAGATACTTGTATAAATTATAGACTGTAGTTTGTTTAGTTCAAAGGTCAAATTTGTTTGGTTAAAACCTTTATCTCTTACCCGTATCCACCGGCGTGTGCTTTTGCGCTTGCGTGAGCGCCATGTCCGCCGTAACCGCCATGTCCGCCGTTTCCGCCATGTCCGCCACCTAGGCCACCTCCAAGCCCACCACCACCTCCATGGCCGCCACCGATTCCACCTCCAAGTCCACCTATAAAAAAATATTTGTCGTCTCATAGGGCTCTCACGGCATTCTTTATAAATCCAGGTATAACGTCCAACAAATGACTTTGACTTAGTGTCTTTTCTACGGCATGAAACATTGACCACATTGACTCTTTTGATGAGTCGGGTCTAAACTTATAAACCTATTAATTATATCCAATAAATAAAAAATCATAATTCCTAAGACCGCAAAAAGAGACCGCAAAAAATGTCCCCTGTTATTGGTACTAATATACTTAAGGTAAATATTTAAGAAGATATTAGATTCATTATTAGTATCTAATATTTGATTTTCATATGTAGATGAAACTGAATTATAGCCCATTGAACTAAAAACTAATAGTAACCTCTTTTGTGATTTTTATATGCACTATACGTAAAAGAATAAAGCATAACTTTGTAACCAAAATAACCTAGAATCTGACTCCCGAACTTGAAAAAGTGTTTTAACGTTTAAAAATAAAACCTAGAATTCATGTATTGTCATACCTCCGTTTCCGCCCCCAAGACCGCCACCGTGACCACCTCCAAGACCACCGCCGTTTCCGCCCCCAAGACCGCCACCGTGACCACCTCCAAGACCACCTCCGCTTCCGCCCCCAAGACCGCCACCGTGACCACCTCCAAGACCACCACCATGGCCGCCGCCATTTCCGCCACCTAATCCATCTCCGTGACCACCTCCTATGCCACCGCCATTTCCTCCACCAAGACCTCCTCCATGACCACCTTAAAAATTATAAGTACATGTAATCTAAGCACTTTCGTTATTTTTGTCTAAACGCCTTTATATGGTATACATTTTTGTCACGTTTTATGTACGTACTTCTCGGACCCACATTAAACCGGTATACATTGACGTTTTAAATTTGCATAGTATATGCATATGCATAATCATTATATAATTTGCATAATCATTTTATATGATTTAATACGAGAATACGTATAAGTTAAAAAACAAACAAACAGTCTTCATAAGTACAATTTCATTTGAATAAACAATCAATTTTCCATTTATAATTAAATATTTTCGCAAACATATTGTCAAAAGACCGTATAGACAGTAAGATACAAACCATGTTTTGCATATTATCATATAAGACATATGTACCCAAGTAACCGTTAATTTCTTAGAAAGTTACCAATATATAAGGTAAGTAAAATATCTCTTAATTTACCTCCTATGCCACCGCCGTTTCCTCCACCAAGGCCTCCTCCGTGACCACCTGAAATAACTTTATATTAATACCACGTTACGTAACATATATAATAATATAATATTAAATTTTTGTTATGACATAAACTTATAACATATGAGAAATGGACATAAGATATTTTAGGTATCCAAGAGAATGCAAAAGGAAGAGGGGACGTCCTGTAAAAAGATGGGCATGTGGTCTGTCGAAGAGATGGAGCAGGCTAGCCCAGCAGAATGGCCTATAATAGGGTACGTCACCTATCAGACAACCTGATCATGAAACTGGTTAATTTAATTAATATATAATTGATTTTCTTCCTAATTATTTGTTCTTTTGTTTGTAACCAATAGTCACGTAATAAAGGCTTTATTTATATATTTAATTATTGTTATGACATACCTCCTAAGCCACCACCATTACCGCCGCCTAAACCTCCACCATGACCACCTGAAATATTCTCATTTTAAAACCACAATATAATTTAACTTTTAACAAAGGAGTTACAAATATCAGTAATATATTCCTCAAATATGTTAGCAGTTGTGGTATGATTTTTTTAACACTAAAGGCTCAAAAAAAAAAAATTAAATTTCATTACCTAAAGCGTTGTCGTGAAACACTAAAGTTCTTACAACATTATACCTCGAATACATTAATGTATTCTTACAGCGGAGCAGACAATACATGGCAACTAACATATAAAAAATACCACTACTTTTTCTGCATTAAACCAAAGTTTTGATTATAAGTGCCATTAATGATTTGAATGCTTCTGCTGGCCTACGAAATTAAACAAACTTACCTCCTACTCCACCTCCGAATCCGCCGCCACCGCCTCCGCCCCCACCGCCACCACCGCCAAAACCGCCGCCGCCTCCAAATCCGCCGCCGCCACCACCTCCATAGCCTTTACCACCACCGCCGTAGCCCCCTGAAAAAAACAACATATTCCCATTTAGTAATAATTCTATTGATGTTGTTATTTTCTATTAACACGTTCCTTGCATTACGAGATCTATCAGATCTCTTGCAGGACTTTTGTATTGTGCGTTGAACATAATCGTGTTTTTTCACTCCTTGCGGGAGGATGTAACTTGTCAAGTTCTTTAAGGATGAGCAGGACAAATATACATATTTACTTCCTACTAAAAGCTGAATTCAAGGACATTAAAAAATAAATTAGAGATGGATTAGGTCCCTAACGCACAGTATTGTAATTGTTTTAATTCCTTGCGTTAGGAGATATGTCGGTACTCGTGAAATCGTACGCCTCGTAGACGCAAGAGATGGAGGATGGGATTTTTAGTGTTGTCCTAGAATCGACATTCGGGAAGTTCCGGGCACGTTTTGGAAATAACACTCGCGTATATACCAGCGTGTTGATTATTTTTGATAAACAATGAGTGATTAAGTTTAAAAGAAAAAAGTGTAAAAATCTATTTTATTGGTGAGGTTTCTAACAAAAAATCAACGCCGGATTATACTGCTGCATCGTCCAGTAAAATATTTGTTTTGGATAATGTTCAAATTTGCGCCCCATTGACTAATAATGACAGTGGTTCTGACTATGAAATATTTAAAGATGAACCTTTTTCGTTGGAGCACACGCAGTTAAACAGCACTGACGCTTCTAAAAAAACTAAACGAATTGTGACCATTTGCGCGTAATGTGCAAGCAATCAATGTGCTTACCATGTTTTAATGAAAAACACTTTGCATAATTAATAAAACTTTTAGAATCGATAACTGAGATATTATTTTATTCCCATCACTACTTACTACACATATTGAACTATCTTCGGGTGCGGTACGAGATACAATCGATATCTAATTTTTTTTTGGTATTTGTAGTTTATTCAAATGTCGTAACTGCGTGCGAACCTAGCAAAATATAAAGCAATTTGCTATCTTTCACCCACAAAAAATTCGAAATATATGTCATTGTTTTTTGGAAGATATAAATTATTTTCAAAAGTGTATTTTTAGGAGACTGATTAGGTCTCAAACGCACCAGAGGATAGGCTTGTTACGAGATCTTTTAGGTCTCCAACGCACCAGCTGAAAGTTCTTTAAAAATGATGGCGCAGTGAACGTGTTAATATATTTAACTTACTATTAAAATGTTAATCTAGTCCTTTCTAGGGTGGTCACTATTACCAAATATATATATAAATTAAAACAATTTTGCTAATATGATTTATTGGATTTTATGACCCCTACGGACTAGTACTTATGTTTAACTGTAAACACTAACATTTTTTAAATCGGTCTTCATATTATGACAATTGTCAAAATTAGTTTAGTAAACATTGTATAGACATTTAATTGACCTTCGATGTATCTTTATGCGTTACTTGCTAGTTGGTTCCGGCTTCTATATTACTTTTGTTATGATTGAAACTACTACTCTGGTTATAGTGGTTAACTTACACGTTAAACCCGAATTTCCCTTACAGGGATCGAATGCTAGCAAAATTATTTTTATTTAAAATTGGACACAGAGGGCTTTTTTACATGCCTTGAAACATACAACATAGTTAAGTGATGTTTAGATTTTATGTAAACGAAAATGAAACAGACACAGAATGTGGCAGTAGGTAAGGAATTATGTATAGATTTTTGGATGTAAGTAGCGCTCAGTAAGACTCCTGTATGTCCTTATGTCATGAACAGGTAATGTTTACTCACAGACTCTTAACTTTTTGTTGTGCATTTTTTGTGCCTGAACAAAAGCGGTAAACTAGACGAAGTTTCGTTACTTTGGCGGACTGAAACTTATGTTATTTTAAATTTAGCTTAGGAGCTTTTGTAGCCAAATCAATGTGAATAAGTTATCTGGAATTATCTCTAGTATGTGTTAAACAAACAATATCAACTCCCCATAGTAATATTAATTTTAGTTTTTGCCTTTAATGGATAATTTTAATAGACGATTCGGGATGTACTTTTTATAAACCTAATATTTGATTTTATTGACGATGGTCACTTTCTTAAAGTCCTTTACTTGGGTGGCTGGAAAATCGCTAAAAGCAATAAGTCAAGCATAACTACTTAATTTATTTTATATTATTATAATGCAACTAGCTGACCGGGCAAACGTCGTTTTGCTATATATAATTTATAATAAAAAAATAGGGGTTGATCGTAGAGGGGTGAAAGTTAGGGGTTTGTATGTATTTTTTAATGCTGTATCATAAAAAAATAAAAACAGAAAAAAATTACTAAAAATAAAAACAAATATTTAGGGGTGGACTACCCTTAACATTTAGGGGGATGAAAAATAGATGTTGTCCGATTCTCAGACATACCCAATATGCACACAAAATTTCATGAGAATCGGTCGAGCCGTTTTGGAGGAGTATGGCAACGAAAACTGTGACACGAGAATTTTATATAATGCAATAGTAATTTTGGGGTTTCAGTTGTCTTATTTATGTTTGTAATGGAAAAAAATATCTTGATATCAGCGAAGTTACTTAAAAGATCGTTACAAATGGTCGTAACAAAGATTATCGATCTGATCAATAAAGAAACTATTGGTATTTATATTAGACATTGTTTATTAGCTACTAATTAGGCATGTCCATGTTTTAGTTGAATAAAACCAACTTTATATCTGGTTTTGATTACTAAAATAATACACTATTATAGATCTGTCATAATATAGATATTGTTTAATTATTTAAATAAAAACACAAATATAACAATTATATATTATATTCTGTAATCGGCGGTTTTTGCTAAAAATCGATCTTTCAGGCAACTAGAATGAACGAAAACTGTAATACAAAAATTACGAGATGGTACAAAAAGTGCGAATCCTATAGATACTTATACAGTTACCATAAAAATGAAATAAACAAAGATTCAAGTCTTATCTAATTAACTTTCATATACGTGGGTAACACTGAAAATGTTTAGAACTGGCCAGTTAGAAACATTGCTAATGTAATAAACTTTGTTTGAATTTCAATTTTAGAACTCTTTAGTAACCTAATGTAGTATAATATTGCATTCATTAGTCATTTGTTTTTGTGAATTGGCGCCAAATCTAAATCTCTTGTTACACGTGAAAATGAACGTAACGCGAGTAAATTTTCGACTGTGTGAATATGACTTTCGTTGTGAGCTTACTCAACAACAAAGCTATGATAGGCTGCGATTAGCATTTCTTAATGAAGCCCCATCTCCTTTCACAGCAACTACTAAGGATAACATCAGTGCTGTACGACGCATGATAGAGGAAGATATAAGAGTGACTTATCAGCAGATACGGGCAAGCCTAGACATTAGTTTGAGTCAAGTTCAAAAAATATTACATGAACATTTAGGCGTCAGGAAGCTTTGAAGATACCCCACCGAAACCAAAAGACAATCAGCTGAGTGGGTGTTTCCTTTCGAGGATCGGCCAACTAAGGTAAAGAAAGGAAGAAGTCAAGAAAAAATGGTGATTGACTCATTCTTTGGTCGCCAAGGTCATTTCGCGACAATTGTGCTAGAAGATGGAAAGACAGTTACTGCAGACTGGTATGTCAATCGCTGTTTGCCTAAAATTTCGACAGCAGCGCCCTCGAAGCAGGATCCTCCTTCACCACGATAATGCTTCAGCGCACTGCGCAAAACGGACTGTTGAATATTTGACTATGGCAGGTGTCGAGATAATGAGTCATCCGCCATACAGTCCTGACCTGGCGCCCTGCGACTTTCATTTATTCCCAACAACTAAAGATAAAATTCGAGGTATTCGCTTTATGAGCCCTGAAGATGCGGTGAAAGCGTACGAAGAGAACCCTAAGGAAAAATCGGCCCACTGCTTTTGTCAGTGGTTCCATCGATGTGTAGAGAGGAACGAAGATTACTTCGAAAAACAATAAAGGTATTGGCAACTTTCTACATTAAGCCGTTTTTCATTTTCTAAACATTTTCAGTGTTACCTAGATAAACCAATTGTATTATGATGCAATTCTTACGCTGAAGTCGCCGAAGTCTTGATTGACATCTATATGATAATTATGAATCGACATGTTTTTCCAGATAATTCAAAAAGGAAAATCACCGTTCTACAGAATTAGCAAATGCATCCTAACCGACAATCAACAAACATTGTTATTAAATATACTTTTAAAATCCAATATTGCAATTGTGTCACTCCGGGATTTGCATTTGTGAAATACAGAAAAGCGTTCGATTCACTAAGCCATTCTTCCTCAAAAATACATTATATTTTAAATAATCACTGCCAAAATAAAACAAAGCAAGAGCTTTTGTTAATTGTAAGCAGTTTAGACAATTTAGAAGGTATGAAAAATAATGGAAGAGCTTCCATTGTTCACAGATGATCGATGGCGTAGTCTTGCTCTTTCGCCAATTTTGTAAACGTTTTTGACATTCATAAGCAGCCCTAAAACGCATCTAAACTGAATAAACGTATTTTGATTTTTATCTAGAAGAAACATTGAAAAAACCCATAACAATTGGATTTACATTATGTATTACTATAATCTATATTTTAATATCCACGATTATATATCTGTTTCATTACGAATCTTTGTTTTGGATTTATTTGGGACATTGTAATAGAAAGAAGTTGCGACGTTATCAGTCACTCACGGTTTAATTAGTCTCCATTAACAATTTTGGTTTAATCTTGAGCTGTCCATTAAATATTTTCAATTTATTATTATAACTATCCCCCTAATTTATAAAAACTACATCAGACTTACACTAATGAAAAGAGACTAATAATGCGTCAGTTAAAACAGTGCATGTACACTTAATTATTACACAGGGCTACAATTTATGAAAAAGTATTTCAAAGTTCATTGGTTATAGTAAAAGTAATGCATCACGCTGCTCATTTTTCTCCCGGTACAAGTCTTTCTCTTGGCTATTCTTTCTAAACATAATTTTAAAAAAAGTGCGTGCGTACCAAGTAGGCCTGTACACATGTCAGAAGTGAAACTTCTTTGTCAAACTAATTTTTTACGATTGTTCATATTTATACAAATCTAACACTTAAAAAGGAAGATATGTTAGGAATTTAATGAATTTAATTGTCATTAAAATATTAAAAGTGTCGAAAACTAATACAAATTATATATTTTTTTTTTAAATTTATTTATTCGATAATAAAAATACCTGACATTTTAACAATTTTACAATTCGTCATTTGAGATTTCAATAAACTATTTTGCATAAAATATAAAATAGGTACTAATTTTTCATAAATTCTCTTTACGAAATTTTAATTTTAAAAATAGAATTTCTATAAGGTAATTCACCCTTCTCACTCTCTATCAATCGGTCTCAATCGCTCTCTCCCTTTTCGTCGACAAAAACGTTGCACATCTTCGTGACGTTCCGTAAAAATTTTACTCTCCTGCGTTTTCAGAAGTTTCACTTCAAAAAAATTTCGTAATCCACTGTCCCACTCGCAAAAATTGGGTAATTCCTGGTCCATGAGGTAGTAGGTTGTTTAGCAGATGGTATATCAGGACACTGAATAGTATTTTTAATAAATAATTTTAATTCAATTTAGGAAATATCAATAAGGTTCTTTGTTCTAGTACTAAATATCTCACAAGATTTTTATAATTTTGTGAAAAATCATAACGTGATGGGCTGAAACCAAATTTACATTCGGAATCAACGTACTCGTACGCTAAGGACACTTACAAATTAACAAAGCACCAGATGTTATTTATGAAAAGGGGATAAAATTATTATTATTATAGAAAAGTTACTTTAAACTTCAAAACTATAAACGGACTAAACGAACCTGGATTTAATTTTGTAAAATGAATAAAGTTGTTAAAAGACTAAGGTACGTTTTGGCTTCATATATCAATAATAGCAACTAAAGGATCGCGCGGATAATAAAGAAAAACAAAAAACAAATAATTTATTCGTAACGCTATTTATTTATATCTAAAAAGTAAATCACAAGTAGTTCTTGTATCTTTAAATCCATATCATCTGAAAATTTCACATGTCACATGATCTAGAAATAGTAGTTTTCTCACACACCAATGATGAATTAGGGGAGTCGAACACCTACCCATAACGATGGCCATGACCTGGTAAAAAAGAGGAATGTGAAAAACTGTGTACTGTTAATCACAAGCAGCTTCGCAAGGAATGATTTTTTTTTAATTTCGAAATAAATATTGCCTGAGCAATAAGAATAATCTGGGATTCTAATGGTGATGAAATTTTGAAATCAGCCTTGGTATTCTGTAACTCACTTTTCGAACTCATATAAGGAGGGAGCTTGTAGTTTATTGTTTATCAGAATGCCAAATCGTAAAATGACTGCTTTACGACTGATTTGAGCGCGACCGCCGCTGCGAAAACCGCTGTGTGAGTTCGAAAAGTGAGTTACAGAATCGCAAGGCAGTCCAGTAGTTTTTCAGTCGATTGCTAATAATATTATCTAACATACTGATCTAATAATATTTAAATATATATCAAGTGCATAGTGATAGCAGTTGTCATTTTCCCATGAAAAGTCCTTACAGATAAACATTTATAATACGGATACATTTGAACATGGAATTTTGTTGGTCCATTTGACTAAATAAATGCTTACCACCAAAACCACGATGACCGCCATAACCCCCTCCGAACCCTCGTCCGCCTCCAAAGCCACCATGACCACCACCGTGTCCTCCTCCAAAGCCCCTGCCTCCGCCTCCACCGAAGCCACCACCTCCGCCACCGAAGCCGCCACCTCCACCATAACCGCCACCTCCGCCGAAACCTCCTCCACCTCCTCCACCTCCACCTCCCCCACCTCCGCCAAAACCTCCTCCACCACCACCTCCCCCGAAACCAAAACCACCTCCCGAGCCACCACCAACTGAAAAAAAAGTTAAGATCATGATATTTCTGATATAAAAAATATCTATACGTACGTACCTATTTTATTAACACATAATTATTAAAAACTTTACATGTTTTATTAAGCTTTATTTTGTTTTAGAATTATTGCTACCCATAAAATTAGTTTCACTAATATTATCGTTTATATATGGACGCTTAAAAACATTGTTTAATAGACAGATTGAGCATTTTTTTTTTACGTACCTAAAGGTTTAGTTTGGGCATAGGCAACAAGCCCCAATACTAAGCAAACCACTGTCCACCGTGACATTTCGATAAACTACTGATGTTACACTCAATCTAAATGTTATATACCGGTGTATTTTGCCAAAAAACCGCAAATGTTTACAATTATCCAATTATGGTTTGATGTCTGCTTGATCTTCAATATTAAGCACCAAATTTGGAAAAACCTGTTTTATTTTTCACGCGTCACAACCTCTTGAAAATATTATTTGGTTGAATTATTGGCAATTAAATTCATAGCTTTTTTATGTGTCCTAAAATGCTATGAAATTTATACAGATTGCATTAAAGGCAAATAAGACTTCCTTATTTGCCTAGATTTACTATTTAGATACAAAAAGTTGAACAGCAAGGACAAATTATCTTTTAATATAAATTGATAGACTTGTAATTACTTATATACCCTATACATTTTGGCTTAGGCAAAATCATGATTTTGAATTGAGTTAATTGAGTAATTTGATTGATTCTATTTCAATTTCAATTGTGTCTCTCGAGCCTCACCTACTGATTAACAAACTACATTTATAATAATAAGTTTTTGTAATTTATTAAAAGATTGTAAGAACATTATTACTGGGAATAACCTGTGCCCATAATTTCCGTTGTAATATACTCGGAATCAGTCGTGATAAAATCTATTTAAAACTGTAACAGGTTCGTGACTCGAATCGGTTGAGATATAGAAAATTGATATGAGAACGAATCTTTAACTGCGTCTGTATGCGAAAAAAAACTTGGATAAAAACACCGATGTATATCTAATTTGATTTTATTGACATCAAAGATAGTTTAATACCAAGAAAGGCCGGATTCAGAGTCTAGACTAAGGGTGAGATTCAGAATGAAGACTTAGCATGAACTCACTTCCATTTGACTAAATCTAATGCGCTATGTACATTGTACACCCGTACCTGCTCCCTGAGCATCGGGAGAGGTTAGAGCAGTATTGCCTTTTTAAAGTTCTTATGCCCCCTTATGAAGCATAGCCCCTACCAAATTTTTAATATTAAAAACTGAATAGTTCACTTCAGAAACATATTTTTTTTTAAAGCCCCCCTTTACAACCAAACTGCCCCACGTTGAACACTCGGTTAGAGCATACGAGTATGTGTAGTTATAGGTTTTTAATTAATTGTTTATTTTAGAACAGCGAAGAACGAGGTCACGGTGACGTCATTGAGCTGATATTGCAACAATAGACTACTGCAAGAACGTAAATTATGTTAGTAAACAAAGTTTTTCAAAATTAATTAATTCAAAAACAATAGAAGTACGCATTTTATATAATGTACAGAACACGATTGACTCTATATACATCAATAAATAGTTTCTACAACAATATAAAAGCCTATTTTTGCAGGGGATTTTTATCTTTTTTATACTTAATATCGATAAAGCATTGACTATCGACGTGTTTTTTATACATTCAACGAATTCTATGATAAGTATCTTTTTATATGATAGGGCTGGCTGTATGCTTATTTTTTCTAATATCACTAAACTAGTTGCAGTACTAGGCAAATGTTTTGTAAATCTTACTTATTACAGGTACACGATCGTGAAAAAGACAAAATATTAAATAGCTTTAAATATATAGACAAATAAAATGTGAAGCAATATCGTTATAACGATTTTGATATATGAAAATAAGCTATGTATTTATTTAGTCGTCAAACATTGTACATATTAACAAATAACACATAGAGTATAAAGATATATTTGTATATTTACACGTACAACAATCACTAAAGAATTAAAGCTAATATGATCACTGTATGACTACGTAGCTAAACATTACTATAGTATATTATACATACATATATTACAGTACATAGTGACAAGTAGTATATCTCATTAGGAAACTGCCGTAATCATTCTTGTACATTTTACAAAAAATCGTCGTTTTTAGAGTTTGGCGACCAGATAGGTCCTTAAGTGTAATATTACAACCCTTGTCGTTGTCCTTTGGATTTCGTTATCATTTTTTTCTTCTACATTTGTTGGCGATCAGCCTCCTGTGCGTGACAGACACCGTCAGCCTTTTGGGTGTAACTTCACGATGTTTCCTTTCACAATGGGAGTGTTAAACGGGCACATATAGAGAAAATTCCATTGCTGCACAGCTGGGGTTCGTATCTCAGGAATGAGAGTCGACCCTCTCCAACAATGCTGTTGTTGGATCTGGGAGATGTGATTAGTAGTTTAATTTTTTGAAGTGGCAACCCTACGAACAAATTTTGTATCATGCTTGTTCATTACTTACTCTAAAGTAATTACAAACACTACAGCGGGAAGCACCGGACTGGTTTTCTCGAGTTTTTGTCTTCGTTAGGTTCTTGATCTTGAAACCACTAAGGTACATCGTAAACTTTTTACAACATCGTCATTAGTATGCTAATTCTTTACCAAAGCCTGGGCTGGTATTTCTAATCAAATTAGCGATGAAATGTTTGATCTTACTACTAATATACTACTTTTAATATTCGCGGAACCAGTAAAAAACACAATGTTCGTAATTACTATTATATTGAGGTTTTTTATCAATTTAATTACAATAAGCAAGCAATTTCGAAGAAAAACCGCGTTGACTTTTCCTTATGACCTTAAGAAGTCAATATTAAAACGTTTGTTATAGCTAAACATATTAAGAGAAAAATTATGGTTTAACGTGTGATTTTTTATAAAAAAGTAGTCGTCAAGATTAATAATGATTGTTTTTTGTATCTTATAGACATAGACTATATACTGAAACTAATCATATTTACAACTACCCCGATATTTAATTATAAATATGTATTGCTATTGTTATTAGCCCCATCTTATCACCCTCGGCAAGCATAAAAGCTGGCGCAGCCGCAGAGCAGCTGGAAAATAATAATGGCTCAAATATTGGATATTTCCTCCAACTTTGATTTTGTTCCCTTTGGAGTACAGACTCTTGGGGTTCAAGTGCACAGGCGGTAATTAAAGATACGTCTGGTAGATAGTACACTAGAGCTGTTGCTTCCTCAACGAATAAGTTACCTAATTACAGCGTTGAAATGCTACCAGCAATAGAGGTACACTGACCGCCACAGAGACTAAACTTTTTAAATTTGTTTTAACTTTATATTTATCAATTATTATGTAAATAATTATTATTATTACTATGTAGCTTAAGAATATTGTATATAGTGTATATTTGTGTATTGGAAATAAATTTGATCATATTACAACTACGAACGTTCTAATAATAAAACTCGTCTTAATGACCCTTTTATCCTAAGAGCCCAGGGCTCTTTGCTTAGGCCAGACCTTCGTCATTTTATAAAAGCTGAAAGTTCTTCTGTGCGTGTCCCCTATACAGGTAAGAACGACCAGAGACTATAGAGTTTGGGTAGTGGTTACTTTGGCAGATAACAGGTAGTAAAGGTGTATAAAATAGTACCTTAAATCCCTTAAAGTATAAAGCTCATTTTTTTATATTTTATTAGGGATAACTTTATAAATATCGTCATACATTGCCGGACACTTATGACAGTTGCTTCCCCCTGCCAGACACCCCTAAACATTAATTAATTATAATTATACTTTCGTTAGAGTATAAAAGCTAAATTTTATATATGTTACTTGGGGACCTATGAAAATATGATACCTCAATAGCCGGACAGTTTCAATGGTTTTTACACCCTGCCAGACACATTGAAAGTCCGCTGTAGGTCCGAGCGCGAGCGCTTAGTCTTTACTACCTGTTATCTGCCAAAGTAACCACTACCCAAACTCTATAGTCTCTGGTCGTTCTTACCTGTATAGGGGACACGCACAGAAGAACTTTCAGCTTTTATAAAATGACGAAGGTCTGGCAGTCCTGGGCTCTTGATCTATTTGTAAGAACAAGAATTGTCTCACGAATTATGATTAGCACATACTTCCATAAGGTTAAAAGTATAATAGGATAATTGTTTTATGTTTATTTTTTATTCACAAACAATTGTTATTTAATACGTTATAGTCCATTGTTGTTTCAGTTTAACAATTTAACATTACTAGTTAGAGCTTTCTATTAGAAGAAGGGTTGATTCAAACTCAAACTCAAAATAACTTTTTTCATATAGGTAAACAAGTACACTTATAAAGGTCAGAAAAGAAGTTAAATTAATTCTAAATTTACATTAAGTACCACTTCGCAAGTCAAGGGCGTAGAGCGGGCAAGAAGAACTGGCAAGAAACTCTCCGCCACTGATTTTAATTGCTAAGTCAATTTCGTCAAGTATTTGGCTTGCCTAGTGCCTAGCGTAAGATTCAGCAACGAGACTGTTACGCTAAAGTGACTGACTCCCGTACGCCAATCATTTTGGATTTTGACATACATCTTTAAGTCTGGTGTCTGAATATCTGCCTAAGCATTTTCTCAAAGTAATTGTTATGTTAAAATAAATATGTATCGTCTAAATACGTCCTAATTCAATTCAATCAGTGAATTGAAAATAGAAAATGATTACCAAATCAAATTATGATTTACATAATAAAACCTAGCAAAATATACTTTCAAAGACAAAGTCTATGTCACTTATAGTATAAGTATTCCTAGATTTGTGGGCAATACACGTTTTTATCTATACACTTGGTATAGTTTTATACACTAGTAGTGAAAGGATGCAGTGTCTGTTTAGTATAAAATCGACACACGAAGCTCGTTACTAAAAATGCTACAAAATTTTATCGTTATGATTTCACGTCTATTCCCTGCTAAACGTCATGTGCCAAAGTGATCAGCAAGTCAAGAGTATCCGACGAGTCATATGCGAATTTAAACTATTGTTATCATTACGAATAAAGCAAAGTTACTGCGTCTCATTACTGCTAATTTATTTTTCTAAGGCTGTTTCAAATTTTACTGATTTTTTAGCGATATTTGAATCCTTAATATTTGTAAAATTAACAATAAAATAAATAATAAATAAAAATCACTTTATTTGACGAAAAAAACATTTGGTACTTACATTCTAAAGGTTATAAACATACAAAATGCAACGAATCGTTGTGTTTTCACTATTATTTTTGGTGAACCTCGTACATAAAATAATTCTATGTGCACTAGCGATTAAACTAGGCCTAGCCTGTATCTTAAACGCTAGTTCCTTCCAGTGTCTTTAACAAATTGGTTAGGTTGTTTGTCATTACATATTTATACGGGTTATATTTTTATTGTTTATAAAACTAAATGAGGGTAGAATCTAAAAAAAAGTTGTTGCAATTTGTTAGACTATAGTAACAAAGACAGTAATTAACAAAGACAAAGGTATGCATATATTAAATGGTTATTAAACAGAAATCGTTCAAACCCTAAAATTTAGTATTAAATAACTATTAACTATATCTTTCTATAATTCGTTATACTACTGTATTATGGAATTTTTATTATTATACATACAAAACAGATTCTAGTCTAACGTATGCTGGTTTAATATTACAATTTTACTGGGTAAATAGAATTCTAAATGCATAAATAATATTTTTTTGTTGGACCTGGTATCGCCGACTTTTTTGTAGATATTGACGTCTTCTATATTAAAGTGTATTAGATCACTTTGCTCTGATGTCAATAGTTTCCGCAGCGTACGCGATTTAGAAATTTTTATTTTACTTTTTCTTGTGTGAATAATTGAATTCAGTCCAGCCTTGCGGTTCTGTAACTCACTTTTCGAACTCTCACAGCGGTTTTCAAAGTGAGTTACAGAATCGCAAGGCTGTAGTTTTGGAGCCTATTCAATGGAAACAAACAATCAAATCTTTTCTCTATACTAGCGTAGACAAATAAAAGACAAAGGTTAACATAAAAAGTTTTATTAAAATTGTTAAATAACTTAATTCTTCTTTAGTTATAAATCACAGCTTTTATTCCATTACAATATTTTTGATAGGTTTAATTTTAAACGTTATTATTTTTATTACATGTAGTTGAAAACAATCTTAACTAACAATTATTCTTTCATAACACATAATCAAAGTTATGGCATCGTTTCCTAAAACAATAAATTCGTAACTTATTCATAAATTTGAAAAAGACGTGGCCTAACTGATGGGGTTTCAAATGGAAAATAATTTTCTTTGTCTTTTATAACTTCATTTTCCATATCCACCAGCGTGGGCACTAGCACTTGCAGTTGCAGAAGCGCTGGCATAGGCAGAGCCCTGACCACCGCAAGACCCACTGCCACAACCACCACACCCTCCAGAACAACCTTTGCTACCTGATCCAGAACCATTTCCACCATATCCCCCAGAACCACCTCCGTTGCCACCACTGCCATGACCCCCAGATCCACCATGACCACTACCTCCTCCCAAGCCACCACCGTAACCACCTCCTGACCCACCTCCAAGTCCACCACCCGATCCTCTGAAACCGCCTCCATCACCCCCCGGACCACCAGATCCACCTCCAAAGCCGTTTCCATGGCCACCGGAACCTCCTAATCCACCTCCAAGTCCACCACCCGATCCTCCAAAACCGCCTCCATTACCTCCCGGACCACTAGATCCTCCTCCAAAGCCGTTTCCATGACCACCGGAACCTCCTAATCCACCCCCAGATCCACCTCCAAGACCACCTCCAGCACCTCCGCCAAATCCACTGCCTCCTGAACCACCATAGCCTTTTCCACCTCCTACCCCACTACCCAAACTAGCTCCAAATCCACCTGATATACCTAACCCACCGCTGTGGCCATCGGATTCACCATGACCTCCACCGACACCACCACCGATACCACTTCCGGATCCACCTCCAGCGCCACCGCCAAGACCTCCACCCGATCCACCAAAACCGCCTCCATTGCCCCCTTGTCCACCAGATCCACCTCCAAAGCCATTTCCACCCGAACCTCCGTGACTAGGTCCAGCGCCTCCATAGTTGCCAGAACCACCGGATCCTTTACCACCCCCTAGTCCCCCGCCAAATCCCCTCCAAATCCACCCCCAGCTCCACCACCGAGACCATTTCCACCTCCATAGCCCCCACTTCCAGATCCACCGTTTCCTCCGAAGCCACCAGCTCCACCTCCAAGTCCACCTCCAGCGCTTCCACTGTGACCCCCGAAACCGCCATTTCCGTTTCCGCCGGATCCTAATCCACCTCCAGCACCGCCACCATAACCTGCTCCTCCACCGTTGCTGTAGCCACCACCTCCTCCGTAGCCCCCATTTTCAAGAGTTCCAGTGAAAGCGAACCCTCCAGATTTTCCATCGGATGAACTCGTTTGTATAAACTTCTCTGTTCCTTTTCCTCCACCTAAGCCGCCTCCAATTCCAGAACCACCTCCGAGGCCAGAACCACCTCCTAGGCCAGAACCGCCTCCGAGGCCAGAACCACCTCCAAGGCCATAACCACCTCCTGATCCACCGCCCAATCCCCCACCAGCTCCAAATCCAAAGCCACCTCCTTTTCCGAAACTTGCAGCCTTGTCAATGATGCTATGGACACCTTGTTTTATTGCGCCCAGCCCGGCCTCTAAACCTAGTCCCCCACCGCCCCCAAAGGCACCCCCGCCTCCGCCACCTCCGCCGGATCCAAATCCGCCTCCAAAGCCGAAACCACCGCCCCCGCCACCGCCACCGCCTCCGCTATATCTACGAACTCTCTCTGAAAAGACAAAAAGCGTACGTTAAATAAAACTTGTTGAACGCCAATTTACATTATTATTATATTACTACGACTCATCGGAACTTTGAGATGTTATATGGAATATTGAGAAGTTTTTTGTTCGACCGTTACTATCCTGACTAACTTTGCAAATCCGACTTCTACGAATAAGTTTTTACACTTTTATTTTTTCTGCTATGATATTCTCACTAAGTATGTAGCTTTCTGTTGGTAAAAGAATTTTCAAAATCGGTTTAGTAAATCCAGAGATTATCCTCTACATTCTCACAAAGGTAAACCATCTTTATAATATATATAGTAAATTATTTATTATTTATATATAGCATATCAATAGCCTATCTGCTACATTCAATGGTCCAGTGAATAGGCTGTCTGGCTCTTACAACTTGATTACTAACATTGATGAAAATATTCATATATCTTACAACAATCTTCTAACTTACCGTAACCATTATTATCATTCTCTTAATGAGGTTTCATTTTCCATTTAGTTTTAGTTATTATTGTTTTTTTTTATGTGTATGTGTGTAAAATTTGTGTTATCATATTATCTTGTGGGTACAAGTGCGTCCTTACATTTTTTTTCTGTAAAATGAAATTGATTGATTGGACAGATGGATTCATTTATTTCCTAGAAATAAGATTTGGGAAGCCTTTAAAATAAAAAATACCTGTGTAAGGGTTTTCAGCTCTTATATGATAACAAACTTAATACTTAATTCAATAGCAAAGTTAATATAGTTCTTTTTAATGAAAATATCAATTTAATTTCTATATACATTTACTTCTTAAATACGCTAAGTATGGATTTGACTACTATTCCTATTAATCTTAAAACACTGTTTATGAGAAAATATTAATGCAGATTTTAATGTGAAATAACATAAGTTAGTATGAAAAATACTTTTCAATGTTATTGAATTAGGAATTGTTACTATTGCTACTTGTTTATTATTCTTTATAGAAGACTTAATATTAAATTTTCTAATTACAATTTCAATTCAGCTTATTACCCGATTTCAAAACACTGAAGAAAAAGCTTCTTAGAATAAAATATATATATTATTATCCAATGTTATTCAAGTTAGACCCAGTAATCAATAGACTAGAGAAATTCATGATTTTAGAAGTTAACAGTTAAGTCATAAGTGATAAAATTATTAACACTTTAAAACAAATGACTGCAATAAGACTAACAAGTAGGGATGTGAAAAAATAATCGATTATTAAAAAAATAGATTTTAATCGATTTTTTTATTAAAAATAATCGATTATTTTTATAATTGAAAATCAATCATAATCGATTTTTTATCTGCCACCTCCCGACATTGTCTGGTCTTTTATAACCCGGACCTCGAACTATTAGGGATATTCGATATACAACGATGTTTACAATGCGATACATTGAATCCGATTCTTTGAAGATGATGAATTTGATGTTTTTTTGTAAAACATCGAAAGGATGATAAAAGCAGTTAATTTTCAAGTTTGAATGGAACACTATAATTTAAAAGTAAAATAAATTTATTCAGCAGCACAAGACTACATACAATTAAAAAGACAACAAAAATACTGCAATGTGCTACTGAAAAGGAATACACTCAGGATTTATCAAATTCTATCAAAGAGATATCGAGATTAAGTTAATTTCGATTTTGATTATTCTTTGTAATTTGTGTTTATAATTACTTTTGTTTATTTTTAATTTAAAAAAACCATGAAAGATAAAATATTTAGGGTGTTTATTTTGATATTAATTCAAAAATTAGGAAAAATCTATTATTTACTAATCGATTTTTCATGCTAAAATAATAATCTATTAATAAAAAATCGATTTTTTATGCAGAATGTCACATCCCTACTAACAAGTGCTGACAAAACAAAGTTATAATTTATAAGCAATAATCTACTATTGCTTTGCAAAAATTGTAAGCAATAATACTACGGTCTTATTTCGCAGCTACAATAGACAAATCAATAAGTACTTAGGTGCTGTATATAGGCGAAACGCTAGCGCGTTTCATTCGACTATCAACGCCATCTAGTGAAAAGTAGCAACTAACTTTTCTTGATAATGGGCATAAATCTTAATTAATTAAATAATTACGCATATGCTAAACATATCTTTTGAGATAATTTTGAAGCAATTACAACTGAATTTTCAGGTACTCGGTATACAGCAAATATTCTGCCAGGCGCTAAATTATTTCTTTATTTAGTTTTTAAACTCTACAAACAGCAGTATCGTATTTCGTTTGAAAAAACATTGGCTAGATTTATTACATTGTAATTTGTAAGTTTACATTGCAGTGCGCCGAGCGCGACGCCCCAATGAAACTCGTTTCAAAGAAACAAAAGCCATCCGCATCGATACATCGAAATTATTTATTTACTTTTATGTACACATTGTTTTAGAACGTATAAATAAATAAATAAATAGTTTCCATACATTTATATAGACATTTATAGTAACGAAGAATCTATTTTCAATATTTGTTTATTGTCACAAATTTAGTACCGTCAACAAAGTTTATTCCTAATACGCTTAAAAGCACAAAGGAAAATTTTGCAATAGAGATTGTATACATAACATATATTATTATCGTGAAGCCGTAGAGAATTCAGCCAATATCAAAGACCGTATATCTTTTTATGATTTACTAGTGAATATAATGTAAAAAATTAACAATGTCACAGGGTGGTATAAGTTTATTTATGTTTAATCTTAAACGTATAAAAATTTCCGTACCGAGGCCCTTTCTAGATATTTGGAGTAATTATCACACATTTATTATGGTAATTCATAATAAACACATTCATATTTATGTAATTATTGAGCCTTTATGAAAAAAACGCAGTAATTAAAATAATTAACAGCGCTTAAATACAGTAAAACAGAATTTCCCAGATAGCTGTAATACTAATAACACTTCTTTATTTAAAACTAGCTAATTCCGGCTTCTAGAATGTACTTTTTTTATTAGAAAACCTTTTGATTATATATTAAAGTACAATTCTTATGTGAATGTTTAAATTTGAGTGTAGCGAGCGTGTTATTAAAAATTTAATTGTTCTATTATTCAGTCTACACATGGTGATACCTTATTAAATGGCTAATACATTTTTGAGTATAGGAATAACTAAGTAAATCAGTAAGTTATGGCATAACGAATAGATATGTTATATATACCTGCATTAGCGAGAGTTAGCGCAATCCCAAAAACAAAACACGACCACTTCATGGCGGTTTATTCGCACTGTATAACAATGCTTACACGATATTCCTTTTATACACCTATTTATCTAACACAATCACAAATAAGTTCACATGAATATCAAGTACGGAGAAACCAATGGTGTCTTCGACTTTGTTTTGAGAAATTGTATTGATAGATTATAATTTATTGCCTACTTATAGAGAATTATCATCAAAACATACATTTACTAGGAATGATCGTGTTATGAGCTAATCTCGTGATTAGCGAGAAAAAGGTCAACGATTTATTAATTATCAGTCAATAATATTGATCGATTTAATTATGGTATTTATTAAATATTAATTACCGATTAAGTCAATGAAATACGAAATATATTTTTAGACTAAAATATAGATTAAAATCGCACTTGCAAGTATTGGATATTTGATAGTGACGTCGTCGCGTACTCCGAGTTAAATTATCTCTAATTATGGATGATTTATTTTATTTTTTAAGGTACATAATGGTGCACTACAACAAAATTTAAAATATGTAAATACTTTTAAAGCGTTGCACTTGCTCGTTCAGTTAAAGAAAACATTCCGAACGGAAAATTCGACGATTATTATAACTTATAAGCAAGACATCACGTTGTCTATAAACAAAAAGACCGAACTAACAGATTTAATCTGGACCCAAGATACAGTTGTAGTACCACCTTTATTTTCTTATTGTCTTTGAGAACAAATTTGGGCTCTTACAATCCAGCTTGACTTATAATTTCTATAATTTAAAAATCATTATAAAAAAAATGGTTATTCTTCGATATTTGTTATTTTTGAAAGTTGGACAGCCGTGCACATTTCGTTGATTTATAGGTCTTTGATATGCGTTTCATCACGGTGTTTCTCGTTGTCGTATAAGCAAATGTTAATTGCGCACATAGATTATCAAGACTTCAAGGTAACTTAATTACATTTATAAAAGAAATAAGATACTAGAAAAAACGTATATTTTGAAGTTCAGAAGTCATGCTTAACGGTTTGTCTCGATTCTAAACCTTGTCTCAATTGAATTAATAATTTCAACCCGGAAAGGGCCTTTAGAAGTCCACTTTTTATATGTTATCAATAATGTAATTGTAGATTTCCGTTCATGAGTATGAGATGTGAATTATAATTGATGATCTCATTGGTTAAACACATATTTTTAGGATGTACTTGTTCGTGTCTTAAATTTTTTACAAATTTTTAAGATACAGTTGTAAAGATAATATTTTTGTGTTTTCCTTATGGCGTGTATAAGTTAAAATGTCAAGTGCGTGTAGCTATAAGCTTGTGAACTTTTGTAATCTAAATCTCTATAGATTATGCTTTTTTTACCATATTGTTTATGCACAAATATTTAAAAAAATCTCAAACTCAAAATAACTTTATTAATATAGGTAACCAAGTACACTTAAGTCAAAAATCATTTATTCATATAGGTAACACAATGTACACTTATGAACGTCAAAAAAGAAATATACATTAAATGTTTCTAATTTTACATGTACTGCCAGTTCTCAAATCAAGAGCGTAAAACGGAAGGGAAGAACTGGCAATAAACTCTCCACCACTCTTTTTAACCGCCAACAGAAAAGATGTTAAATTGATTCTAAATTAACTTTTACTACCAGTTCGCAAGTCAAGAGCGTAGAGCGGGCAAGAATAACTGGCAAGAAACTCTCCGCCACTCTTTTTAATCGCCTAGTTTTGAGTCATACAAATTGTTGGAACTGGAGCAAATCAATCCCAAGGATTAGGATTATTTAAATATTCGTCAAATTTATAATTACACGTGTCTCTTGCAAGCCGTCTTTTGTCTTTGTCCGAATACATAATCTTTAGTAATAACTACTAACAATAGAAAATGTGTGTGCTGTAGCATCAACCTCATAATCAGGCCTTATTAAAAGCCTACCTATGAGAGCCGGAAAGCCGCTTTTGGCTGGCATTACTTAACTGAGTTTAAGATTTTAGATTACGGTGTGGTGTATGTACTGTGGTAACGTTTAACGATAAGATCGAAACAGGTGGTATTTCCAAGATTTAGTGGTCAGGTTTTGTACGCTTGTATTATCTGCAATTTTATTAACTACATTAACAATGGTTCAATAAATAAAACACTGATGCTTTCGACTTTAGGTTGAATAAAAAGACTAAGCTAATATAAATGTTTAAATAGATTATTAATCACGGAGCAATTGGCTATAGTGTGCGACAACAAAGAAGTTGTTTTTTTTATTTGCACTTGCTTGCTCGTACGTTGAAATTATAGTGAGGAAACTGACATCCCTTAGATCCAAAAGTGGACTGCGTGTTTCAGGCTTAGAAGGCTGATGTGACCTATCTATTAAGAAGAAAATTGACAAAATATACAAGGAAAGAGATACAAAACGTTACGGCCATGGCGAAGGGTTATAGTGTCACGAGTATTATTAATACATAGTACAATATTCTACTTTCTTAATAAACCCTTACTATATTTGCAATATGTCATGTGTAAAAATATAATAAAATAAAATATATATGACTATAATTTTCATTATATATTTTCTAACATATAGAAGTAATTAGATATATAGGAATCCACTTTTGTTGAAACTTAAAGTTTGGTGTCTGAAGCTGCTAAAATAGGCCTAAGACTGCGAAAAATCGCGATAATCTACATGAAGCTCTTCAAAGACAAAACCCAAAACGAAAAGACCTGCGCATAGGGAATATCTCTTTCAATGGCACTAATAAATTCAAGTATGTACTGTAACAAACACAAACAGTGGAATAGAATGTTGTCATCCGTATTCCCTGATATAGTGCAGCTCTTCACAAAATCCTATCGCCCAAGGTGCTCTAAAGGTAACCAACTCCGTATTTATAAAACGGTTTTAAGTTATACAGTTGTAGAGATCTGAGACTTGGTGACTGACTCTTAAAAGAAAGGAGACATTATTAGTAGCCGAAACAAAAGTTCTACGGAAGATTCTAGGCCCGACAAAGAGGGAGGAAGGAAGCTGCACGAGGATATCTAGGCCTAAGACTCAGTTGAACTGGTCATGAGAGCAGGGGAGAAGATATAGCTGGTAAGACGTCACGGAGGACCTACGGGAGCTCGGGGTGCCCGACTGGTAAGCGCGCAAGCGGCAAAGACGTTCTCTAGTTTCGAAGATTCAATAGTAGACCCATAGGGGTCGCTTAAGTATGTTGTAAATCGCACACCGAGAAGTTTATAAAGAATAAATACAAACTCAAATTATCCAATTCCAGCAATCACATACATAACTATTAATCTCCTTTTATGAAATATTAAATTTATTATGTTTCCATAGAACTTGTACAAATTATCGCTAAGTTCAGAGGTGAGTTTAACTCCATTATGCATTTATAAAAACTATTGCCAATGATAATGTCAATTATTACGTTATTTATTATTAGCATTATAAATTAATCGTATCGTCTGCAGTCACGACTTCTAAAGTGCATCGCTTATAAAAACCACATCCTTGATTCTTACGTCATTTTGTATAGTTATTATCATAAGTCAGCAAACAACAACTGTACCTTCGAAGCATTCTAACAAAAAAATCCTTGGCAAAGAATGTAGGAAATTTATTTTTTCGAAGAATTCTCATAAAATCTAGTTAAAAGATATTTGTATAAAATATTGAGCATCACTCTGTGAGTGTATTTGGAACTAAAATATGTTCAGACAAACTACGCTATAATAGAATTCCTGTGTGTATTCAAATTGTATGGAAAATGTTCGTGCGGCCGAAACTGACATTTCGTATTGACGTTCACGAAACAATTTATTGTGAAAAACTAAGGGAACGGATTCTAAAGTATAAAATATAAATCAGTCTTATACTTTTATTATAATTTTTGATTATTTAAGGTCAAAAATCAGAGAGCCCTATGTACCGAACGTTTAAATATACAAATTTAAAATTTCCTACTAAATCTCACCCTAAGAGCCAGTACAACATAGACCTTTGCTACAAACCACCGCTCGCGTTGGTCAAAACTGGTAAATAATAAAAAAAATAGCAAAGCCACGCAGTTACAAGGTACTTTTCATTATTGATTAACATATGAATACGATTTGATACTAACATTAATAGTAGACAATTAATTTAAAACCAAAGATAAAAATAAAATGAGCGATGCCTCTTACATTATTTTGATATCGGTGTAAAGTTTAGACTTTCGCTTTTTTAAAGCCTCAAAATCGTATTAACGATGACAAAAATAATCTTATTACAAGTTTTAATAGTATTGTGATGAACATTGTTATGAAATAGCAATTACTATAATTATAGTGAATCATAGTAATAATGTGTCAGTAACTTGATTTATAGAAAATTACTGAGTATTTAATTAAACTACTTTTTGCTAAAATGAATAATACTCTAATTTAAAATAGGTGTAGATTAGAAACTGCTAATGAATTTCTAGTATGCCCTATATTTGTCTTATGCCAAAAAATAGACTGTGTTAGAAGGCGATCAGCGACTTACAATAAGAAATTCATAAAAGACAGTATCGCCTATATAATACAGTTCACTATTAATGAAAAATAAAACGCCTGCTAAGATCATACTGGCAATTTATTTAATGTTCAACATTGCATTATAATTTCCAAAGAAAATCTGTTACAAAACTTATTTTCAGCGTTAAAATTATATTTACCACATTACATAAAATCGTTTAAATTACATATAATACATATAACTAAAGGCATCTTAGCTATTATTTCCGCGACTGTGTTCTTTAAGCAAAGTATGAGAAAATAAACACAGTAGGCGACTTTGAAAATCTTTGCATATATGTTTTATTTACAATTTACTTTCGGTTCTTGGTGGTCCGTAGGCCGTCGCATGGCTTGTAGCCACACCACCACGACCCGTGCTGAAAGCGTTCGCGATTGCTGTAGCTCCTTGAGGAGTACCTTGACCAGCTCTTCCACCGTATCCAAAGAACATCGGGAAGAATGCACCTGTCGGCATTCTTGGGGGATAATCGTTACCCTCTTCCTCGTCTTCATCAGGTTTCCTTACCTGTTTCTTCTTTGTGACTCTCTTCTTTGGAGCTGGTTCCGGCACATCCTCTGCCTCGGGTTCTATTATTTCTGGAACTGCTACCGCCTTTGCTGTAGTCGGGACTTCGATTCTTTCAGTTGGGTCTGCCATTTCAGTGGCTTCTGTAGCTACGGGTTGTTCAGAGGGCACAAATGGAGACTCAGGGACATACGTTCGCTCTGGTTCAGAGGGAACTTCAGGTGTTTGGTAGTAAACCTCGTTCTGTTGTGGTGGCGCATAGTTAATATCCTGGGGAGTCTGGCGGCGTCTGTCTGGCAAGTAGTATTGGCTGGTTTGGGGCTGGTATTCTTCGGGCTTGAACATGAATGCAGCCATTCCACTACCAACTGTACGTGGGTTGTAATATGGATTGTAGTAGCGGCTTAACACCATAGCTCCACGATTCCTGTCCATAGATCCGTATGAGTCTGAAAGTAGTATTTTTCTATACAGTAAGGGCAATGGAGCAGAATAAATTTTGTTTCAGTTTTTAGTGCCTGCCTGACACACGTCGTTGGTTTTCGGTCTTAGGCTTAAATTTACATAGCTCGGACTTAAATTAGAGTTACGCCAGATATGGGTGAACTCTTGCTCTATCTAATATCAGAATTTTAATTTCATTGTGGCCTAGCAACTGACTGCCTGCTAGGCAAGAGTTTGCAAACAATTACAACGTTTTTAACTACACTCACTAAATTCGTAAGATAATGAATATAAGGTTAGCATATTTAGATATGCTTTATTCATGGTTCGTTCAAACTCCAGGTAGTGAAATTTATAAATCATAGAAAGCATTCATAGGAGAGGTTTGAATGCTCGACATAAGCTTGAGACCGCAGACTACTCTAACTGCCTAAGGATGATAGTACGATTCATGACAATTAAAGGATTCTTTTAACAAAGCCTTTAAGTGACAAAGGGACGGCTTTAAAAATATCACAGCAGATTTCAAAGTGAATAAAATTAATGAATTAAAAAAATATATATCAGTATTTAATAGTCATTGGAATGGCTCTCTCTACTACTTTCTCACACACTCCCTCAACTCTTTATAATTAGTTAACAATCTGCACAACAAAAAAGCCTTAAAACGTCAACTTATTATTGATCTAAATATCCGTAGTGCTTACAACGCAAATTTGGAAACACATACGAATTTAAAAAATGGTATGGTTATTGAATATTATATACCTTCAGCAAATTCAGAGACAAGACTTCGAATCGAATTCAAAGCCAACTATGACCGTGTATCCATAAACAATTTTGACATACGTCAGAGTGAACTAAACATATACTCTTTCCTCCAACTTCGATTTTGTTCCCTTTGGGGTAGAGACTCTTGGGCCGTGGGGTTCAAGTGCACAGGCGCTTAGTAAAGATTTAAGTTGGCACCTGGTAGATAGTACCGGTGACCCCAGAGCTGGCACTTTCCTGGCTCAACGAATAAGATCGCAATACATGGAAATGCTACCAGCGTTAAAGGTACACTGCCACAGGGACCAAACTTTTTTAAATTTGATTTGATTTTTTTAAATAATTTTTATTATTACTTTGTAGGTTAAGAAAATTGTTAATATTGTATGTAAAAATTAACATATACTTACATGTATCCACGTTTTGTCCATAATAAGGATAGGGATACGCCCGAATTTCCAGCACACAAACTATTAACAACGCCACTACCTTCATATTAAAAGTTTGTTTTAAGATGTTGCGTCTTAAACTGTTTTCGTTTCAGTGGTCACTAGTGGATGTCGTCGCGTTATATAGTCCATTTTGTTTGATCTAATTTGGATTCATAGCACGCCTGTGCCGACAATCATTTTACACAGTTCGGCTGAGCTTTAGGTCCGTTATAAACACTGAGTATCCTAGAGTTTAGCTGTATTATGGAATTGTGTATTTATATATTATTTACTAGCTGACCCGGCAAACGTTGTTTTGCCATGTATATTATTTCTAGGAAATTTTTTTTTAGTTCAATGAAAATAACTATCTACTAAAATAAAAAATTGGGGTTGATCATAGAGGTGTGAAAATTAGGGGTTGTATGTATTTTTGTATGCTGTACTGTAAAAAATAAAAATATAAAAACAAAAAAAAATGTTTTGGGGTGGACACCCCTTATCACTTAGGGGTTTGAAAGATAGATGATAACCGATTCGCAGACTTACTGAAAAATTCATAAGAATCGGTCGAGCTGTTTCGGATGAGTATGGGAACGAACATTGTGACACGGGAATTTTATATATTAGATTACTACGGTATTCCAAAAACATTCAGATTTGTGACATATTAATTATTTTATTGAAGAATCCACATATTAGTGCTGCTGTATGAGTATTGTCAGAAAACACAAATATCTTTTATCAATATAATTTTTTTTTATGTAATAGGAGGCAAACGGGCAGGAGGGTCACCTGATGTTACGTGATACCGCCGTCCATGGACATTGCCAGAAGGCTCGCAAGTAGGCAGCCTTATAAGAATTACGCTCTTTTCTCGTAGGACCCTAAGTACAAATTCTTCGGTAAACTTCAGTGGGCAGCTGGTTCCTCACATTGGTGGTGCGCGGCAAAAACTGCCTTAAGAAACGCTCAGTTGTGGAACGACGGACGTCGAAGTGATACGGATGGTATTTTGTATCCTGCCTTGACGTCCGATATTTCAGCAGCAGGTCCGAACAACTGCTCTGAACACTCTCCATATTAAATGCGATAGAAGATGCAGAGAGACCCCACATCTCTACGCAACACCAAGGGATCGCAGCGAAAGCCGCTCGAAAATTGCTTGGTTTAATGATACATTTCGTCAAAACTACTAAGTACAGCTTTTTATCACTTACGTAGACTAAAGACTTAATATCGCTAGGTAATGAGTTAAATAATAAATATAACAACCATTTAGAATTACGCATAACCTGATATTGCTTTCGCAGCGAATAGGAATAAATCCTGGTCAAGAGGCTCAAAAATTTCTCCTATCTTGCTCCATTTTATACGGGACCTTACAACATTATTGCTTCTATAATAATATTATAAATATACAATTATATCGATTTGAAGTTTATCGGTTACTTCGGAGAAATAAGAACCCGTATTCTTGCTGTGTTTAAGGAAACCTTTTATTGTTATCGTGGGAACGATCCATATTGATTCGTTTTTGTTTTGTTTACATCGTGATATTACAGACAATTCAAACTCTTTAAAGTATCTTCAGGAGTTTTCCAATGCTCCAAACAAATGGTTTATTTCATGTTTATGGCATTGATAATCAATTTACTAAAAATATATTTTCTTAACTTTTATTACGTCATTTCTACACCCAAAGCATCGCTGGGCCGAAACTAAGAGATTTTTGGGAACGCATTAAAAAATGTTTTCTATAGAATAACCACACAATTAAAGTTTACTTGTTTTTAGAGGGTTACCAGACCACGAAATGAAATGAAATGAAATGAAATAGTTTATTCTTGCAAGTAGGACTATATAAATCACTTTTACAATGTCATCCTAAACTAGATGAAGTCGACATTTCCTAACTGACTGCCCTGAGAAGAAATGTCGAAACAAACTCGGGGGTCTTAGTCTCTTTTATAGTCCAGATAATACAATAATAAATTAATAAATTGGTGTAAACAAATGCAGACTATTTACTGGACTGGTCTTTGGAAGAAAGAACCAGATCGATCTGAGCAAGCCTGTGCCAGCAGACGGCAAGCATGCCCCGAATAGCTCATGCAGCTCAACCATTTTTGAGGAAGCTGCACAACCCGGTACACAGCAATACCGCCAGTGGCACCATAAAAATATGTGGGGCAACAACTCACTCAGATCGCCAGCCCAAAATAACTATATATACTAAAATGTATCAAATTATAAATCAAGCAAAAGAGTTTATGATATACCCGCATAATGTTTACACTTACAATGGATACAAAATGTATTTTTAAGGTGTACCTTAAAGCAAGGAAAAAATAATGAAATTGAAAAATATAATCGTAATATAAACATTATTCACTTGGCATGTCAAAGTGTAAAATATTGTATGCAAAAGCACAAAACATGTCAGTATTGTAGAAAAGAAAAATGAATATGCACTAAGCACAAAACATGTCAGTAATGTAGAGAAAAAAAAATGTAAAAAAATGAATATGCACTAAGCACAAACATGTCAATAGAATAAAATAAAATGCATATGCAAAAGCACAAGACATGTCAGATTGTAAATATGTACAACATGCAAAAAAAAAAAAAAAGTGAAAGACAGCTTAAAAAAACACAAGCGATAGCTGTATAAGCGAGCAGCTCAATCCCAGGCGTTTCTATCATTTAAATAATCGGATATCCTGTAATATCCTTTAGTTAATAATTTTGATTTAATAAAAATTTAAATTTCTTAAGGGGAAGTTTACGAACATCCATAGGAAGTTTATTGTAAAAGCGTATACATTGACCCATGAACGAGTTGCTTATTCTATGAAGGCGAGTAGCATGAACTGTTAAATTATTTTTTTGTTCCTAGTATTTCG